CCACACGCGTCTTGTATACTTGTTTCGTCCATCTCTTTTCGTTCATCCTCTCTATATGTCCAAACCATCTCAACATACCTTTCTCAATCCTCGACACTACATCTTCTTTCACTCCACAACGTTCCCTAAAATTAACTTAATAAACTTTAAAGTTTTAAGTCTTAGCTAAACTATAGGTATGTTGAATAAAACTTGATATCATACTTAATAACGATATTATTTATTGATAAAATTAAATTCCTTGCAATTTACGTGCCTCCCCCGCACTGCGTCTCCCGTCGCCCGACCGACCAACACCCCCACTTCTTCTAACGCCACTTCTTCAAATTAGACTCGCCCAGGCCGAAAACCGACTTCTGCACAGGGACCACAAAGTTTCAATCGCACTGTACATGCGCGCCCGTACGTGGTATTTTGTGGAAGAGCCACATTCAAGGGGCCAAAGAGCCACATGTGGCTCACGAGCCGCGGTTTCCCGACCACTGTCCTAGGGAAACACGTGTCAGGCATGATTAACTTTTTTTTGTGACCCGGGTAATAAAATGTTAACTGGATTGAAAAGAAATTTTTAAAAATAGTTTACCTCTTGTCATTTCAGTTAGATTATTTTTATGATCGTTTTGGGTATTTTAAAACTTGAGGGAAGCTGAATTAGTTACAACACTTTATCTTCCAATATTCTTATGCTTTGCTTTCATTATAAGAATTAGCTCTAAATATTGTTCTAATTGTTACAGAAGGAGAGAGCATAATTCGGAAGCGAGGCCACTCCCCAGGCTGGGGTGACTGTGTCGGTCCCGGGGAGCCAGCTTCCGTGGCTGGTGAGAAACATGCCCTCCTCTGACATGGCAAGCCCCAGGCCTGAGTAAAGGTTCCTTAGAAAAAAATCTACAAAATAACATGAGTAGAAAGTGAGTGACCCCAGTTAGAAAGAACAACCTGTTGATCACTGTCGTCGTACATTACAGTCCGAGACTAAGTCAGTTCTGGGCCAAATGCAGCGGCACCGACACATCCACGTTTCTCCAGGCGTTCCCTTCTGTGGGTGCGGCATGGGTCTGGGTGGAACAGCCGCGGGACACTGGCTCTTCCTCTCCTGCGCACTGTGCCCTCCGTGCCTCCGGGGTCCCGTCTGCTGGTGCCCGTTGGTAGGTCGGGCTGGCTGCCCCCTGCCCCCGGCTCCCTGCCCAGCAAGCAGTGACGGTGCCTGGCAGCCCTGCTGCAGGCGTGGTCGTGGGCGCACAGGTGTGCATCCAGCGGCTCCTGCTGCATCCGAGCGGCAGGTGCACCGGGGTCTGGAGCAGATGTTGAAACCCGTGTAGGCAGGTGGGGGGAGGTGTGCCTGCCTCGCCCAGGAGGCCCAGGTGAGCGGAGATGCCAGGACCCGTCTCACAGGCAGGTGGGGGGAGGTGTGCCTGCCTCTCCAAGGAGGCCCAGGTGAGCGGGGTGCCAGGACCTCTCTCACGGGCAGGTGGGGGGAGGCCCATGTGAGCGGAGATGCCAAGACCCGTCTCACAGGCAGGTGGGGGGAGGCCCAGGTAAGCTGGGTGCCAGGACCTCTCTCACGGGCAGACGCAACTTCCGCTCTGGGGGATCCAGACACTTTTTACTCCGATTATATTTTCAGTGGCAGATAAACATGCCTGTGGTGTTTAAAGAGTCATGTGCACGTGTGTCATACCTCCCGACAGGCTTAGACTCGTCAGGAACGGTGGAGGCCAGATGATGCCCATGTTACAAGGAAACAGAGATGCTCTCGGGCAACCGATTTTCAGATTCTTAAACCCTCGGCCTGGGACTCTGAGGTCCCTGTTCCAATAAAACGACTACGCTCGTGGTGATGGCCCCGTCCGTTCACCTGACTCGGGGTGGGGGGGTCACGAAGGTTCTCTGCGTGTCTGTCTCACTCAGTCGGGTTGCCCTTGGGCGAAGGGGAAATTGCTTAGTGCGGAAAGAGACACAATATACAGACTGGACTGTGGACACATAAATCAGCGAAGTAAAAATGTAAGCGAGGCACAAAAATAGGTCTGACCACATCTTCCGACGCGTCGAGGAGGGGAGAGGACCAGGGCTCCGTGACTGGGCACGGCTGACTCACAAGATGACAGAGGTTTCAGGCGCTGGCTGGGCGGCCCACTTTCCCGGGAACACACGGGTGGGCCCCCCTGACAGGCAACGCGTGTTGAAATATTGCAACTCCCAGAGCAGCTCCAGGTCACCTCTAGAGTTTTCCATGGTTTGGTGACCCCTCTAACTTTGACTATCTGAATTTTTAAAACTGAAATGAGACTTGCTGATGTGGGAGTGAAATTACTTAATCCGCCCAGTTGCTGGGACTTGTTCATCTGACTTCACCCTGGTTTTCTCCCCAGGGGACGGGTCCGCCCCTCTCCTGGACCCTGCGTGCCCATGTCCGCTAAGGGCACCGGGGCTGACGCCGCCGGATGGGGGGCAGGAGGCCGCTCCGTGTCGGGAAGCAGCCGCCCGGGGCCACGCGGGTGAAGGCCCCTTTCTTTTCTGTTGCAGCTGAACTCCAGCGGCGACCCGTGTCCCCTCCGACCCTGGGGACAGAAGCGGCTGTGGTGCGTCCACGGGGACTCCGCCCTCGATCTCCGCTGGCGCCTCTGGTTCCAAAGACGGGCACTGCCTGCTGAGTCCTCTGCGGCCTGGACCCTCGGGGGAGGGACTCTGGCCCGTGTTCCAGAGGCTCCACAAACACCTGGGAAATGAGTCCGAGAACCACTGCAACGGAGCGGCCAGGCCGTCAGGACTGCCCGTGAGCTCGTCCGGAGGGAGTGCGGGATCCGAGTGCGGGATCTGAGCCACACTTACCCGGTGCCGCTGAGGGGCAGCCTCGCCTGGAGGCTGGAAGTAAGAAAGAAAAAGGAAACCGACGGTGAGGACGAGGGGGGGCCGGCGAGGGTCACACGGCCCACATTTGAAGACAGAGTGTCCCCCAAAATAATGAGAAGGCCCCCCTGTCCACATTTAACAGTAGGCCTGTTAGGGCACCCTTCCCTCCATCCCAGCCCCTCCCCTTCCCATGGGGGCACCTCCACCCTTCCCTCCATCTCAGCCCCTCCCCTTCCCATGGGGGCACCTCCACCCCTCCCTCCATCTCAGCCCCTCCCCCCTCCCATGAGGGCACCTCCACCTTTCCCTCCATATCAGCCCCTCCCCTTCCCATGGGGGCACCATCCATCCTTAGCTCCATCTCAGCCCTTCCCTTCCCATAGGATGGGTGTGGGGCTGAGAGTCCAAGCTTCCCAGGGACCAGCCCCCACTGGGCCCCACCAGGCGTGGCTCCTGGGAACAGAGGACATGGCTCTCACCCAGAAATTCCGAAGGTTTGGGAGTCTGTGACAGGAACTGGGGGCAGATATATATAAACTAGAGGCCCAGCTCATAAAAATTTGTGCACTCTCGGGGGTTGGGGAGGGGGACCCTCAGCCCAGCCTGCGCCCTCTTACAGTCCGGGAGCCCTCGGGGGATGTCCGACTGCCACTGAGGCAGGAGAGGCTTCCACCACCGCCCCTACATTCACCAGCCGAGAGCCCAGCTTCTGGCTGAGCGGCACTCCCCCTGTGGGAGCACACTGACCACCAGGGGGCAGCTCCTGCATTGAGTGTCTGCCCCCTGGTGGTCAGTGTGCTTCATAACTTGCATATTAGCCTTTTATTATGTAGGATTATTGTTCTGTCGAGTTCTACAGTAAGTGGCTCAGGCACGTCAGAGACTGCATCTCGCTGGCGCAGACAGTGCCGACCCATCTCTTACCTCAGGCACAGAACAGAAGTAAATCTCCTTGTGCCCATTTTATACTCTTCCAGACGCCGCCCCTCCACTGGCTAAGTGTTGTTAGGGAAGCGGAAATTGGAGGATTGGATGGAAGAAATGATAACTCCTTAGATTAACACACACACACACACACACACACACACACACACACACACACATTCGAACCCGCTATCTACAATGGTAATAATATGTATGTATCATTCTAACTCTGAACATATTAATGTTAGATAAATGTCACATTTAAATTTTATTTATTCTTTTGGTTGACAGATTCCAATCCCATATGCTTTTTTATTACCCTGTGCTGTTCTAATATGCAAAACTGACATCTAATCCTTTGTATATTCAAACATAAAAGTCACATTTTTGATGTCAGATTAGATAAGGACCTAGCAAAGTATTAACTTGTCAGGCACTGTTTCTTTTCAAACTCCTGATTGAATTTATTTTTGAAATACCAAGCAAACCCACAGCAGGTGGACTGGACAGACTGCTGCTCCTCTGGGTCCCTGTAGGGTGGGCCCGTGCAGGGTGGGGCCAGGTGGGCACAGTGCAGGGGGGGGCCAGGTGGGCACAGGGAAGGGGGGGCAGGTGGGCACAGGGAAAGGGGGGGCAGGTGGGCACAGTGTGGGGGGGCCAGGTGGGCACAGTGTGGGGGGGCCAGGTGGGGATGGTCTCATGTTTGTTTAAATGGAATTTTAAATCCAATACATGAGCTAGGAGAAGTGCAGCAATGGCTATAATATAAGACAAAATATATACAAAAAACAAATAGGCTTCTGTCTTCCTGAGAATATGAAAGAAATCCACCGTATTCTAAGTAGTAAAATCTCGACTGCACACAGCAGGCTCCTCGTGTTTTAGCGCCGCAGCTGCCCTGACATGATCTGGGGCCTGCGTGCTCCGTAGCTGTCAGCCTGCGTTGCACATACATGTTTCTTCTGATTGTCCCGGTCACTGCGTTGCTCCCTTTTCCAGGTAGTGCTTGACGGACCGGGCCACCATCTTCGGTTGGACTCTCTCCAGCTCCCGCCCTGGCCCCGCCTCCCAGCTTGCCCCGCGGGACCCCTCCAGCCCTCACATGCTCTGCGATGGTTACATGAACTCGCGGGCAGCGGCACGCGCACCCTCTCCGGCTGTGCCCAAGATGGCCCGTTAGGGGAGACGCTGGGAAAAGCTTCCCGGGGGGACCACAGACCATGAACCTCCTCCTGAGGCTGCGGAGGAGCTTCCGCGCCCTCATCGCGCTCCTGGCCGCCTTCTGCCTGGCCAGCATCGCCTTCTCCGCCTACTTCCTCTACGCGGGGTCCCGGCAGGAGGTGGTGCTCCTGGAAGCCACCGCCAAGGCCGAGTGCGCCGACCTCAGGCTCCTGCCCTTGCGGGCCGCGGAGCCCCGGACAGCCAGGCCCATGGACACGTCGCGCACGGACCCCACGGTGCTGCTGCTGGTGGAGAGCCAGTACTCCCAGCTGGGCCAGGACATCGCCGCCATCCTGGAGTCCGGCCGCTTCGCCTACCACATGGTCATCGCGCCGGGGAAGGGGGACATCCCGCCGCTGACCGAGGGCGGCCGGGGCAAGTACGTCCTGGTCATCTACGAGAACGTCCTCAAGTACGCGAGCATGGACGCGTGGAACCGCGAGCTGCTGGAGAAGTACTGCGTGGAGTACAGCGTGGGCATCATCGGCTTCCACAAGGCCACGGAGAACAGCCCGCCCGGCGCGCCGCTGCGGGGCCTGCCGCTCAGCCTCCTGAACAACCTGGCGCTGCGGGACTGCCTGGTGGACCCGCGCGCCCCGCTGCTGCGCCTCACCCGGGCGCCCCGCGTGCAGCAGGGCCGCTGCCCGGCCGGGACTGGACGGCCTTCCGCTCCAACCACTCCACCTACCAGCCCGTGCTGCTGGCCGCGCCGCAGGGCGGGGAGGGCCCCCCGGCCGCGCCCGGCGCCCCGCTCCACGCCACGGTGGTCCAGGACCTGGGGCTGCACGACGGCATCCGGCGGGTGCTCTTCGGCAACAACCTGAGCTTCTGGCTGCACAGGCTCATCTTCGTGGACGCCGTGTCCTTCCTGTCGGGGCGGCGGCTGAGCCTGTCCCTGGACAGGTACCTGCTGGTGGACATCGACGACATCTTCGTGGGGAAGGAGGGCACGCGGATGAACGTCAGAGACGTGAAGGTAAGCGCGCTGGTCCTTAGCGTCGTCGCTTCCGTTTCTCTGACTCGGTCCAGGCAACGTGTGATGTGAATTCTTTAGGCTCCTCGTTACCCGGGAAGGTTAAGGCGCAGCAGGTTTGAAATAAACGAGTCATTTAGCAAAATCTTGAACTAAGGTTCACGTAGAAACAGTCAAACCCGTAAAGAATGTTTGTGAGTTGATTTGAGCCAAACGGTCGGCAGTTGATGGGAAGCAGAATCTCAAGGGATTGGGATAATTTTCCGGAGAACAGCGGCTTTCACTTTGTTTAATACATGACAATCAAAGTAGGAGATGTAGGTGGGTCACATGAAATCCATCGGTGATAGACTAGGGAGGCGGGAGGAAGCAAAGCGGGGAACCTCTGTGATTGGGTAAAAGGTAAGTTGATGGACACACGCTTCTTTCACTTAGGGGGGTGCAGTCAGCAATTACCACGATGGCCACAGTGAGGGAAGTTACAAGCGACCCTGACATTTCACAGGGCAGTTATCTTAGATGCAAAAAGACCATAGACAGGCTCAGTTAAGGACAAGGTTGACCGTGTCAGGGAAGGTACTGGCCTAGGAGGGGACTACCCCCCATCACTGCTTTTAGTTCAAGTTTAATTTCAGGCTGTCCTTTGTGGTGACTGTAGGTCTCTGAGTTTTGCGAGGCCGCCAGCGGGCCTCCCCTGTGCTTGTCAGGGTAGCGTGTGTCCCCTCTTTCTGTCCACACCCCCACACCAGGATGCTACTGCAGGGCTAGAGCTGAAATATCTGTTTGAGCTGATCCCTGCCTGGCCTCTCACTTTCCCCGCTGCAGCGCCGGCTGGCCCCCTGCTCTGGGTTCCCTGACGTGTGCTCCGGCACCAGTGCACCCCAGAACTACCCTGGGTGGCTCCCCAGCCCCGTCGGGCCTGACGATGGTGGTTGAAGCACAAGACGAAGAAACAGCCTGGCCCTGCCTGGACCCGAGGGAAGCCCGGCGTTCGCGCATGAACCGCCGTGCCCTGTGGGTGCAGAGACGAGCGGAGCAGAGTCTGAGTCTGACAGGCGTGTGCTGGGCGGGCCCTCGAGCTCCCGCTGCGGGGGTGGGGGGGTGGGAGGGAGGCCACCCCGAGTGGAGGTCGCACAGTAGGGGGCAGGGACACATCCCGCCCGGGGCGGACTGTGACACACTCACCAGTGACCTGTTAGAGCCGGAGCTACTGTTATGCTGGGGGGGGGGGGGTAGGCGGGCAGTTCTGAGGACAATGCCCTCCCTTTGCGTCTGGATTCAGCGTCATCCCATGTGCCTCCCCTATCCTGTGGGCACCTACACCCCTTCTGTGTGCACCTACACCCTCCTGTGGGCACCTACACC